AGTATGAATAGTGTTGCATGAATAAGTCGACGTCATGTATCCGGCACTAGCGCCATCTAGTGTCAGGGACGAGAGCGAGGGGAGCTTTCCAGAAATGACATCACTAATCTTTCAACCGACAGCGCCATCTAGTCTCGGAACGAAGAACTAAGCTTCTAGAAGTCGACACTCGAACTCTCGGCCCCTTGCGCGTGTTTACTTGAATATTCTGGAAGTTTCGGTGCTAATTTGTATTTATAGGCGCTGCAAGATGCGATCGGGGAAGTATTGAATTTGGCGAGACAAGCGAAGCTTCGGAGCGAAATAAAGTCAATCAGTGTGGTTAATTATTAGTGTTTTAAGTTTAATTAGTGTAAAGTGAATTAAAGAGTTAATTTTGGTAATTCAATCGGCAGTTTTTACTGTCACGAACCTCAAGCTCGTAACAATAGGTTAACTCGGCTGAGGATGGACCATGATCTCATAGAATACCAGCGTTAAATACCAGCTAAAGGCTGCTGTGCTTCGTATAATGAGTGTAGAGAACCGGAGACTCAGAGGGAATTAAAACAGTAGATGGGCGGCAGCATCATTTTAATAAAAACCAAGCCGTCTGCCAAGCTGCTTATAGGGCAAGCTTATAAGACTGTGTTCAGGAGTGTACTTTAATAAACTGTGATGACTAATGCATTACTGTCATTACAGCTCCTCACAAGTCCACTGATAAACATATTCCCCGAGAAATTCAACAAAGCACGGTCCTGAACAACCTCTACCAATTGCCAATCGATATATCCATCCATATATCGATAGTCCACTGTGTCACGGGAGAACACAAGCATTATTTTGTGATAAATGCGGAACACGCGAAGAATACGTATTTTTTTGTGAGAATATTTGTTTAATTAGCTAAACCATACCAACTTTATTAACGAACTTATTACTTGCACGGCCAAAACGCTCAGTACACAGTTCAAAATGCCTACGATAGTCCCATAACATCTTCTTAAAATAAAGTAAAAAAAAATTTCTCCATTGTTATCAACAAAAACCTTCATAACTACATAACAAGTTTTTTTATATAATAAATTATTTAAAAGTACAACATAATAATTAAAATAAAACATATATATATACATATATATATATATATATATTTAAATCGACGAAGACTTCTTGCGTCTTTACAGACTACCACCCTGCCGCGTCCACTGTATGCGGCAAGATTTTAAATGTTTTTAATGTGTATTTACGAAGTTTTAACTAGTATGATTACATTAGTCGACGTGGAATTTCAATTAAACATGATATGTTAATATTCACTTTTAAATAATTCCCGGTAACTTAGTACGTCCGTTCACCACCAAAATTATCCAGCACCCTGAATATCCCTGTATACCATGTATACACTGCATAAATGTTCCTACCTCCATCGAAACTTACGCTTAAACTGATTCTGTATAATTCCCTATATATATTACAAAGATGACGATGATACAGTTACATCCATCAATATTGGAAAAGATTGTGATTCCGTATACAGTTTTTACATTTTGTATTCATCGTACTAGTCAACCGGCTTCCAGCTATATCAGCGATTATACTGTTTCTGATATATCAGTAGATACAATTTTTATGTTAGTATTTATTTCGTGTTTTTATAATCTCAATAGTGATAAGCAAAATTCTCAATTAATTTCCTTAGGGGTACAAAGGATCTGACCTTAGTAGAAAATATTTAGACAGTGGAAAATACTCAGACTCTATTTATTTATTTAAACTTTATTGCACCATAATAATTCAAATACACAAGGTGAGGTTGTTAGGTAAGATGATTTGTGTAACACAGTAAATGTATGTGGTAAGGTAATTGTTAGGTAAGTTTATGTTTTTCTTTCAAGTAAATGTTAAATTATAAATTAATTATATCTCAACTATAATCTTCGCTTTTAAATTATGATATATCATTGTAATTTTCAGAAAAAATTAAGTAATAGAAATAAAACAATAATATTCTAAATATAGGATATTAGCTAACTAAATCACTGACATTATACAATATTTAAATTATTGATCATTGGTATTTATTGAGGAACTTGAAAGATACTTAAATTATATGGACATCGTTTGGAAAACAATAAAAAACATTGTTAATAATTCGTTAATTTTTGAAAGTAAATATTTACACAAAAACTTGAATTTTAAGTCAGTCTTTGTTTTCCAGCAAATCTCCGAGTTGTTCTTTTAATATTTCACATTCATGTTTTTTAGGTAGTTGTTTATTTTTAATGTGTATTTGGAAAAATTTTCCGACTTCAAAGGAATCTTATTAAAAACAACGTTTTTGACTACGCATTTGTTGAATGCAATCAGAGTTGACAGTTTCGATTAGCTTACAATCATAATCGAGTATTTGATCGTTATCAAGAACCTCTTCATCTAGCTCTTCATTCATATCTAAATCGATCTCTTCGAGAGTCTTTCCTTTGAAAGCTTCTGCTTTACCATCTTCTATAACAATAAGAAGTTTCGATATGTTAGCAGTTTGGTATACTTCATCCGGCAATCTATAAGATTTTTTGTGCACTTCATTGTTCATGTCATTTTTAGACATGCTAAATATTTGTGACAACGTAGCGAAGTGTTTTCAGAGCCTTGTAGACGAGATTGATTTTGGGTTTTTTGCTCCAGATAACCTTGCATGCCTTTCGAGAACTTTGTAGCCATAGATAGTGTTTTCATAACATGGATTACCAAATAAAAAATATTTGGCTTTGAAGAAAAAAACAGGTGTCTTATTGACAATAATGGTAAAACCATTATTGTCCATTATTGTTCACTTGAACTTCTTGATTAAACGAAACGGGTACTCCACTACCACGTTTGCCTCTAATAAAAACTCTCTTAAATTTCTTAACCAAAATCATTTCAGATGCAGTAAGCCTCTGAAGATCAAATTCATCATACTTATCAGATGCATTATTATCACTTTGTAAATAGTGGTGCAGTATGATTCTTTGAAGTTCGCCAGGCTTGCGTCTGTTTAATAGTAAAACCCTACAATACACAGTTTCTAATAGTTGTGTGTATGTTGCAATATTTTTGATGCCTTCTTTAATTTGTATAGAAGCCTCCAAAGATTTTTTATTTAACTATTCTTTTAGATTTTTCAAGTCATTTGATAAAGAGACAATAGTTATTTTTATAACGTAGTACGTTTCTAGGGCAGGAGGAAAATGTACATTGACCTCAAGTATTATGTTAGCATCGAAACAAAACGACATTTATTGCCTCCATACATTTCTTTATAGATTACGTGTCGTTATGCGCTAAGCGTGTCTCATGATACGGGGTAGGGTCGAATGAAGCGGTCATTCAGAGATAATAAACCTGTTTCGACGCGATTTGCGATAGGTCTCACACCGTGCGTATTTGAAAAAGTGGATGGAGCAGAACTCATTCCTCATTCTGCTATGGGATGCGCTTGCGTGTAGATAGTTTGAGATTTAAAATTTTCGGTTATAGTAGTTGTTTTAATTTTTATTAAGTTTGTTTTGTTAGTTTTATTATTACGTTTTGTATTAAAGTTGTTATTGTTTTGTGACGTTTTGTATATTATCACTAGTATGAAATCGGATCCATCGACATAAAAATCTCATAAAGACTTTTCGTCGCCACGAAAGAATCGAAAAGTGTCGCATATTTCAGAAACCGAAAAAATTGTGATTGTAAACATCTACAAATATATAAAAGAAACGTGGTCTAGTGACGTATAATATCGTTATATATCCATGCAAAACCGATATAAAAAAAACTGACGATATTTTAGGTTATAATCAATGTGACGGACTCTTCTACGTCTTCATCATTATAAACTGATTCTGAAATAGATACAGATGAATAGTTTGTCAAGTGTCTCTGACAATCTATAATGAGAAGTTTTACGCATGCTTCAAGGTTGCCTACTTAAGAATGCTTAGCATTAAAAGTTCGTCTTTTTACCTGACTGCCAAGAAGTGGTTACGTTTTATACAACTACCTACCTACCTACTTATTAAAGTACATACCTACTATTAACGTAATAATGAAAATTGTGATTATGATTAAAAAATTATAAATTTAAATTAATATTAATTTGCTTTTAAATTCATTTAGGTACAGGATAATCTTATTTCTTTACAATAGAGTAATAGACATAGGGCCTGTAAAAAACTTCGCACTCGGCACCCTTATCTTTCTTTCTGATGAGGTATGTAATGATAAAAGGATAAAAAAAATTAACCTAAACAAAAAAGATTGCCAACCCCGATGATATCGTCAAAGGTCAATGTACTTTTTTCCGCCTGCCCTAGATACGTACTAATACTTATACTCACATCTTGTCTCGGTGGAGTATAATTTGAACAAGTATCAGTATCAATCTGTTTACAAACATGCGACCGTTGCACGCACGTCCCTCCCTCCCTCCTACCCGCGCGCCCCGAACGTCCATCAGGATTCGCACTGTGTCCCAATTTAAGTAAAATACTAGACGCAAGATCATCGTCGTGGAGAATTGATAAAAACATTATCGATATTCAATCGGACGCAATAAAATCGGTAAATTAAACGCTCAATATACGTTTAAAAATATACACTCATGGATAGCGCCCTCCAATTTCCACGCGGCAAACGGCTGAACTACGAAATACGCTAAAATACATTTTAGTGATGAAATTGAGTCCATGCCAATTTTTTGCCCATACGTTCTAAATATGAAATGTCATCTATGGACCAAAAATGAGGGCTGGTTAATCTTGCGTCCGTATACCGGACGCATCGTCAGTCGGACGCAGTATCATCGGTAAAAGTTGCCATGTAGGACGCACCATGATCTACAAAATGATATATATATATATATATATATATATATATATATATATATATATATATATATATATATATTAAAGGCAAATAAAACGAAATATAAAATAATTATAAATTTATTGAATTTTACACACATCTAGTAATTGTAATTCGGCTCAGGCGGGTGGTGCGGGGGGGAATGGAGGGTGGCCAAACGGCGGCGGCCCACGAGGTGGAAACTGTGGCCTGAACTGTGGGGGTGGAGGACGCCATGGAGGGGGAGGGCGAGCGCCTGGTGGAGGTGGTGGACCGAAGCCGGGGGGACCGAACGGTGGAGGGGGAAAGTGGTGGAATGGTGGTGGAGGAGGCGGGGGCCCGGGTGGAGGTGGCGGCCCCGGTGGTGGCATTGAAGAGGGGGGCGGTGGTGGCGCCGACATGGGTAATGGTGGTGGGGGTCTTGCATTCAGTGGAGGCCCTGGTGGCGGCATCGGTGTTGGTGTTGGAGGGGGTGGTGGCGCCATAAGCATGGGCCCCATCATGGTTGGGGGTGCATCTGCGAATAGCTGATGTGGACGGTCTGCATGAGACAGTGGATTTTGTGCGGCGAGTAATCTGAAAGTAAAGTAAATATTATAAGTAATTAAATTCTTAAATCTTAAAGAATCTTCTCATCACCATACTTTTACCAATAATGCCACATGCTACCAACTTTGCACTTAAACTATATTTTTTATTTATTATTACAGAAAACAGCAGATTGCACTAACATTTTGGGATACTTGCATTTTTGGCTTAATCTACACTTAATACTCTAATATTCATGTTTTTTTTTTCAGAAAGTCTGTTTTATTAATAATTCAAACACTAAAAATACTTAAGAAGAAAATTTTAGTTAAGGTATTTTAGTGTTTCCCGGAATCCTATAGCACTGAAAGAAAAATCACGGTTCAAAATAGTTAACCTAAATCTGGTTAAATCTGTTACTTTTTTTTCATTACCGGCATTAAGCTACTATTTTACGCTGGTTATTCTGTGAGAATGCGGTCCTACCCCGGTCGAGTTGACCCATTCATGCTACAAGTACAGCTGACTTTTCATGCTTTTTTATCAGACCTGAAGAGATTTTCCTATCATTTTCCCTACATTTATTAGTTATCCTGGATCCGTAACTCTATAGACATTAACGTTAATAAGGAGTTGTCAGGTTAAAAATAGAAACAGAAAATAAATATCAGACCTTTCAGCTGCTGAACCATGTCTCTCTCCTTTGACATCCTTCTTGAATGCATAAGACACAGATATAGGCCTATTACATAGATATTGGTTATTCATAGCTTCTATTGCGGCGTCAGATGCCTCAAATGAGGCAAAGTTAATGAAAGCAAATGCTTTTGAGTTTCCTGTTTCTGGATCTCTCATTACCTAAAAAAAAGAAAGAGAATCCTAAATACAGGTGTTATAAATTCCTAAATGGAATTATTGAGTTAACACTAGTACTTGTTTCATGGAAAACCTTCCTCGTTTGTTATTGTATTTTGCTTTACGGCAAGGTAGTTTAAGTATAGTTACAGCCTATATAAATCCCAATACGGGAGCCAAAGTCAGCTTTCATCTCTGAGTGGGTTTCACTTCCTCAAATCTTTCTTTACTGCCAGGCACATAAATCAGCAATTAAAAATGCACTTAACAATTTCATTGGCATATGGCATTATCAGGATACCATAACAAAACCGATAAAAAATATCTAGATGGCTTGGTCGTGCAATGGATATTTATTTGGCTTGAGCGATGCAGGCCACTACTTAAAACCCACATCAAACAAATTATATTTGTACATACTATGCATAATTGTTCAAGGTCTGTATATTTGTTCATGTGCAACTGATGTATTTATAAGCACCTTCGTAATACAGAAAGAAATTCATTGTGTAATTTTGTTTCTTTTATTCATAGATAAATATTTGCCCCAAACTAGGATTTTCTCCTGTATTGTGGAGGCTCGTCATCTAGACAGGAATCAGAGCCAACTCAGTGAGTACAATCATAAAAACCAAAGTTAAGACTGACAGATTGAAGAAACAGAAGTTAAGCGAGCAGTAAAATTATAACAATAATTTACTATGTACAGCATTAACCAATATGAAATCCCTTAAAACCAACCTGTGACCTGTACAATACATTATAAAATAAAACTATACCTAATTATTTAACAGTTAAAAGACAATGGAGAAGAATTTGATTAACTTATTTTCTTAATAGAACCATTGTAACAATAGTATAAATACTAAAATAAATTTATTTTGTGTTTACCTTCGGTGTTTGCAAAATAACGCCAAAAGCTGAGAATGTGTCATAAAGTAATTTTTCGTCAACTTCAGGGTCTAGATTTCCTATAAATACATTTGCTCCAACATCAAGGTTCTTCTGATGTGCCGAAGCTTTGTTTACTCGAACTGGTTTACCATACAGTTTTATCATATTCATAACCTGAAAATGCGGAATTAATATATATACACAATTAAGGACGGGAATTATGATGGGAAATATTAGAGCTTTAAGTAATAAATTTAGAGTACGTTTTTGAAGGAAAAAAAGGGATTGAATATGTCAATATATAAAGGCAACGAGTTCCACAAGCGGTTTAATAAATCATTTTCTGTTACAGCTGTAACCGAAAATGTTTTTTATTATATGAAGAATTAATGAAGGAGGTGGATGAATGTGCTAGAACACGAAACAAAAGATTGTTAGTGGAACGTATATCACGATCGCGAGAGGAGAAAATAAATCAAAGCGGTCTTTCATGTAGCATGTAGTGGAGGGATTGAACAGTATTTATTAAACAGTCCGCTGTATAAAGCCGAAAGTATGTAAGTATTCCTGCGAAGGCGAATCGGCAGCCATTTGAAACTTTTACGAAATTCTAAAATGTGATCATATTTACTTAGTCCAAATAAGAATCTTAAGCATAATTATATTATATACAAAATCTGTACTCCTGTTCACTTCACCGAGTTCTATGGTAACTCCTTCACAGTTTAGGCTATACGCCTTCGGAACTCCATGCCCGATGACATCAGAAAAGCTCCCAATAAGTACGCTTTTAAAAAGTTGGTCTGTGAATATCTATTAAAGTTAACGCATTTTAAATCTATTTAATATGGATTGCTAAACATTCGTACATATTCATAGTCATTTGTATGTAATAATTATGTATGTATTTAAATAATATGTATATTTGAATGTATATGCATGTATTTATATATTTGTATACATGTAAGGGTAGATCACATATGTATAGTTTATTTATTATTAGTATGTATATATTATGTAGTTAATTATCATTTGTATTGTGTTCTTTTATTCTATATTGCCACACCTACGTCAAATTCTCACCACTCCATGTGTTGACTGGAAGAGAATGCCTCAAGGCATTAAGTCCGCCCTTTGTATTCTTTTGTTTAAGGATGCAATAAAGAGTAAAATGTATTTAACTGCACTTTGGTAACATCCAAAGCAAGATCAGTACAGTCAAGAATATGCAGAAGTAGGGATTGCGCAAGCACAACTTTAGTGACAGTAGGGAGAAATTTTTCTAAATCCGATCACTACCATCTGGAAACGGCGAAGCCGGACTTGCTCTTTCTGAGACACAGGTGTCTTCTCCGGCTTATCCTTCGTATTTCTCCTGCCCGGGGTACAAATTAGAACACTCTTCTGTGCCCCGGGCTGAAGTTTGCGCGTATGTCAGAGAGGACATCTGTTTTCGACGCATCGGCAGCCTTGAAGGTACAGACCTGTCCATCTTATGGTTGCTCGTAGACAGCGACGACCATCCCCGCGTCTACGGGTGCCTCTATAGGTCCCATAGCGGTAATGCCGAAACAGATCGACTCATCGACCACGTACAGATGGCTACAGACTCCGTGCTACCACAGATCCCATCCTCAGAGATCGTGATACTTGGAGATTTTAACGCCCACCATGCTGAATGACTTGGTTCTCATTTAATCGATCATGCAGATAGATTTGTTTATGACTTTGCTTTGGCATATAGTCTGACACAACTGGTTACCTCGCCTACGCGGATCCCAGATGTGGAAGATCATGTACCTTCCCTGTTGGATCTTCTGCTGACCTCTCATCCGGATGGATATCAGGTCTCCGTCGATGCCCCTCTTGGCTCCTCGGACGGATGATCTGGAGTACGGTGCCACTCACGCTCTTATCGCGGTTGCCGTACTGCAGGTTGCCGCCGTGTTTGGCATTATAGGTCAGCAGACTGGGACGGGATGCGATCTTTTTTTGCATCCTACCCTTGGGTGCGGGTTTGCTTCTCGCCGGATGATCAACAGCGTTGTTGCCGATTCTGTCGCTGATATGGTGCTACAGGGATTGGAACTTTTTATTCCATCATCTGTGGTACGTATCGGAGGCAGAACCCAGCCTTGGTTTGGTCGCTCAGTCCTGCAAAATTGCACTAGGTTATAAGCAGGAGTGCTACCAGGCTTGGGCTCGCGCATCGGCTTCTCGGGATGCAAATACTAGCGCCCTCAAAAAGAAGTACACTTCTGTCTCCAGGTCTTTCAAGTGTCATTGTCAAGGCAAAGTCAGAGCACATCGGCAGAATTGGCGAGATACTAGTTCGTCTTCCTTCGGGAACACGTGCATTCTGGTTTCTCGCCAAGGCTGTCAAAGGGAATGTCTGCCAGCCATCTCTCCCATCTCTGCACAGGGAGGACGACTCACTGGCCCATGCCGCAAAGGACAAAGCCGATCTGCTGGGCTTTCTCTTTGCGTCCAACTCGACTCTTGATGACGGGGTAACACACCGCCGACCATCCCGCGGAGTGCTCCACGCAGGATGTCCTGTTTACCCAACGCTCAGTGCGCAGAGCACTCATCTCCCTGGACGTCAACAAGTCGAGTTGGCCGGATGGTGTCCCTCCTATTGTGCTGAAGAGTGTGTTCCGGAGCTGGCTGTTTTAACGAGTCTTTTCCGGTACTCCTACTCCTTCGACGAAGTCGTCGGCGACCGAGCTCTTTCCGATCTGCTTGACTCACTGGCACTGCGAATATATGTTGCATCTCTTTGCGTATTTTATCGCATCTACCACGGGGAGTGCTCTGAGGAATTTTTCGGACTAATTCCAGCCGCACAATTTCACCATCGCACATCGCGAAAAATCTCGATACCATCCATACCATCTGGATGACTGGCGGTCCACCACCATGCAATTTAAAAGAAGTTTTCTTCCTCGCACAACTTCCTTGTGGAATCGACTACCACCAGAGATTTTTCCGGACCAATACGACTTAGGGACCTTCAAGAAAAGAGCCTACTCCTGTTTAAAAGGCCGGCAACGCATCTGCAATTCCCCTGCTGCAGTGTGTGTTGCAGATGCCCATGGGCGGCGGTAATCACTTACCATCAGGTGAGCCGTATGCTCGTTTGCCCCCCCTCCTATAAAAAATAATATAATATAAAATTTTACAAAATAATAAGAAATAATAAAAAAAATTAATGTTACGCGCTCAAGTCGACGGCACTAGCGCCATCTAGTCTCGAACCGAAGAACTAAACTTCTTGAAGTTTAAAATCGAACTCTTGTCCTTGCGCGTGTTTACTTAACATTCTGGATATTCTTTGCTAATTTATATAAATAGGCGTGCAATCATCAGGCAGATTGATGCGAGACAAGCAAAGCTTAGAAAGATTTTATCGGCAATTTTTATTGTCACGAACCTCAAGCTCGTAACATTAATATATAAATACAGTATACACTGCAATAAGCAGTAATACACAAAAAGAGAGATATATAAACTGCTGCCTGCCTCAATGGTCTAGGGGTAGAAGGCGCAACTGCCGATCATGTGGTTCCAGGTTCAAATCCTGTGTTGGGCCAAAATCAGTAATAGGGTGCTTGCAAACACTTTTGTGTATTATAATCCTGTCCTGATTAGCTAGCTAGTCTCTGTTGAGACTGGCGGCCGTGGCCGAAATTCGGTCTGGAGGATATTATTATTATAAACTTATTTCCAAGCACTCAACATAATCAACATGAAGTTAAAATTTAATAATGTGCTAATCACCATATGCCAGGTCAACTTGGTGAGTATTAATAAGCCTTATGTTCGCTCTCTAAAATTGTTTTATTGCCTATCAATGGCATGGTAGCATTGTTTAGCTTAGTCGGTCTACAATAATGCAAAGATTCGAATTTCAAACAAAACAAGTATTTTGATGGCCTACATAATAATTGAATAAAACTATTTATATGGATTATGCCAGGTTTAACTTATTTTTAATTCCTGAACATAGTTAGCTTGGCTGTCCAATCGAAACAGAACAAGCTTACAGTATCTTGAAGTCTTGTAGTGGTATGCTTGGGTTTGGATTTAATTTTGTTAATTATAGGATATCAAGCAAAATTAAAATCCATATAAATGTGTTGACTGGTAGAGAATGCCTCAAGGCATTAAGTCCGCCCTTTGTATTCTTTTGTTAAGGATGCAATAAAGAATAAAATAAATAAATAGTTCTATTCATGTGTAGTGTTTGTGTAAATATAAGAAATCACTACAAGTAATTGTTTTGTGTATGGATGTTTATTACTATATACATATGCTATACTTATTTATTTTACTGCTTCTAAATTAAATTTTACACCTGCCACCATAGCTCACCATGCTATGGACTGTTAACAGGGAATGCCAACAGGCATCAAGTCCAACCAATTTTACGTTATTTAAAGGTGCAATAATGAATTAAAATAAATAAAATGTAAATGTTTAGTTACATTTTTATAGAAAAACTATATTTAATACAAAGCTCAGCTAGCAAATACATAAATTATTAGAAAATAGACATTTCGTAAGAATAGAGGATAAAATATCTGAAAATACTTATTGAGGTAGTTGATCAACTGTATCAAGCATATTATTTGTATACCTTTATAGCATAATCTGCATCTTCCTCTCCCATAAATTCAACAAATCCATATCCTTGATGTGTTTGGGTTACACGGTCTTTAGGCATATGAACATTTACTGTAAATGAAAATGAAATATAAAATACTTCTATTTGTTAATGAAATTATTTTGCTCTTTACTTAAAGTTTAAATAAAGCAGAACTGGATGTTAAGTTATTGATGAAAGTTTCTGATTACTATCATCATATAACTTTTAATTACACATCAAAATGTACATGTTGATGAAATACTTTTGCAAATATAAAATAATCACATTATGTTTAAGCAAAAAATAAACTCTAGAGTACAGATTATAAAATACAAGCACAAACACTTTAACTTTAGTTAAAGGCTTAAAATAATACTAGAAATTGAAGCATTTCTAGTATTTCTTTACAAATACAGTGTAAACTCCATGTAACATCACCCAATTTAATGCCAAACTCCTTAAAGTGTCGTAATCACTTGGCTTTGGTTGGTTTAGCTTGTTTTCCATACAATGATACACTCTTTATAACATCACACCTACTTTAAATAACGACACCAATTCAATAATAAAAAGTACTTTTTAGTTGCAAATATTAGTAAAAACTGCACAGCTGTGTACAATCTTTTGTTGCTTTATTATCCTAGCCTGTAATAAACTCTACTGTCGGCATCATACATACCAAACTCTCTAAGAAATCCGTTGTTTTATTAACAAATTGGAATAGCTTGCACGTGTAAACTGTTGTTAGTAGGAGTCATGGATTAAATATACATTATCATATTCTTAGTTGCAGACTTTTAAATTGTAAACACGGCAAGTGAGAAAATCATAGTGTATTGACAAAAAAGTGTTTCTAACACAGATTTTTCTTTGTTCCATTTAACAACAACTCTCTATAACGTCAAATTATGCAGAGTCCCTTGAGTGTCGTTATATAGAGTTTACACTGTACTTCAAAATATCTACTTTACAACAAGCCAATGCCACATAGAATGTTGTGTATGTAAAAGGACATGCTTGGAAGTGAAGTATAAGTTAAATAGCAAATGTGAGAATGCATATTTATCCTTCTCCTGGGAAACCACTAGATCCAACTGAATGGTGAAAAAGTAATTCACTATATGCAGCAATGGACTGTCTAAATATTTTTGTTTACATTTTATAAAAGATACAATGAAAGATATTAAAATATTTTATTGAGTAAAAAATAGTCACATAACACAAAATAGACACATCAGATACAGTCATTTTATTTTTATATATTAATACAATTGATGGTTAGATGAATCGATGAATGCAGGTGGCTAAGGACTGTGCTTTGTGGCATTACTTGGGGGAGGCATATGTTCACCAATGGACTTGTAAAGAGCTGTAATGATGATGATGCATAAAGTATTAAATTAAGATAAATCAGTGTTTTATATTAATTACAGTAAACCCTCGTTAATGCGAACACGGTTAACACGAATTTTGGTTTAAGGCGAACAAAAATTTGCTCTAGACAATAGTTCCATAAGCTTCAATGTAATTATGTTCGGTTAAGACGAACCCTCGTTAATCCGAACTTCGAACAACTTTTTCGTCCCTTCACGGTTAATTATCGGATAATACGAACTATAAAAATTCCCAAATCATGTATTTTGTATATTTTTGTCCTTTTTCGGTCAATACAAATACGCTCAGTTCGAGCGGTGATTTCTGAAATCGAGAAAAACCGAAGCATGCCAAAGTGGACTGTTCTCGATGCTATCAGAGCTACTGCTAGTTCATGGAAAAAAGTTACTTCCGAAAACATTGCAAAATGTTTCGAAAAAGCGTGGACACGGTGTGATGAAGCAGCTCAAACAGTCGCAGACAATGAAATGGTTCCTGTACCTGCTGAATGGGAAACTTTGCAATCGTTAACGAACATAAGCATTAATCAACATGCAAATGATTAATGTAAAAGCTATATCTTATCTAAATTAATTGTCCATATTAATTAATGCAATTCATTATTATGTTTAGATCTCAGTTGATTTCAACGAGTATGTCAGTGTCGATGACGATCTGGCCACGGGTGTCAATGAAGAGTTGACTATGGGCCTGAATGACAAGACCCGGGATCCAGAAGATCCCGGATCAACATGAGTCCAGTGATGAGAGCGATATCGAAGAAGTCATCCCACCAACATCGAAGCAAGTCAGAGATGCACTGATATTTTTCTTCGCTATGCAGCGACAAACAACGTTTGAGACGCATTTTCAGATGGGCTGGAAACAATCAACTTCGAATGTGCACGCAAACTCCGACCTACTTATCGCCAAAACAATATCGAAATGTATTTTATGAACAAATAAAAACCAACAGTCAAAATCGGATGATATGTAATAATAATAATGTTAAGTTAAAAAATTTATAATAAAAAATTATTGTAAATATAAAATAATAATATCAAAGTTATTAATAAAAATGTTTCTATGATGAATCATAATATTGAGTTTAGAAACACAAATTCATTTTTTGCATTGTTCGGATTACACGAACTCCCCTGTAACACGAACTATTTGTCTGATTTTTTCGTGTTCGTGTTAACGAGGGTTTACTGTAATGCATTTATTACTTTTTGAGATGAAAGAAATAGATTCTTTAATATTAAATATTTTATATATAATAAATTTTATTATGATATCAATTAATTAAATTATTAAAATGACATGGATGAACTTAATGTACTCACCAACAGGTCCAGCTTGTACAAATAATTCCCATAAAAGACTTTCTGACACTCTATCATCAAGACCTCCTACATAAATAGTAGCATCTGAAATTATAACCAAATTTATGGATTAGTATTATAGAAGCAACTGTATTTTGTTCATTGGGTAAAGTAATTTTGCTGTGTTAGGGTGGTATAAGAGTAATGTAGTCCCATTCTGTGGTAAATTGTATTTACATTTAGAATATGTCTCAAAGACATCATGGCTATAAATTAATTTAATGGATAAGTATATTATATTTATAGAACTTTAACCCCTGTATTATCTACCAGATACATTGCGCATTCCTGTGCATGGGGAGGAGCTCGCGCTCCTGAGGATTAAAGACAAAATACGTGTTGTATATTTAACAGTAGTGAGTATTTCCTATTGTAGTGGTCTTGGGATTAATCCCAACAACCATTAGTAGTGAAGGAGATAGCGCACGCAATTGATTCAACAGCAGAACCATAAACAGAGCAGAATATAAAGTGGGTTGGCTAGATATCCGGTACTTGATTTTTTACTTTTGTTTTCAATTTAAGAGGTTTGTCAGGGTTAATCTCGAACCTTTTACACTCTTTTTGGATTTCGGAAATGCCTTTTGATTTATGATAAAAATAAATTTATGATATGTCATAACAGAAGACCAAATGAGATTCATATACAACAAATTGAGTCGCAGTGGAGAGCAGTCAAAAGGTTTTTCAGAAAACAAAATTATAACAATTGACATTACATTATTTCATTTACTACTATAATAGCAGAGTTTAGGGCAACCTGAATTTATAGATACGATTGGTTGAATCGGTTCTAAAACCAAATTAGCGTGCCCCAACTACACATAGTCTTGTCTGCCCTACCCCTAGCGTTTTTGTAAAGCCGTAGGCGTGGAGGGAGAGCAGCCCCCGCCCGCTGTAGCAAAAAGTGCCTGTGATTTGCTACGCAAGGGCGAAGGGACTGCATTTCCCGCAGTGCCGAAGCTGTTGCAGAAGTAACTTTGTGTCAATATTCCTGTGTAAAAAAGTGAGGTAATGCTTTTACAACATAAATATCACTCGTACTCTACACATTTCCACAAAGGGGGAAGGGGGGTCTCTCCTGAACCCTCCCCCTCCCCCCTCCCATTCCCACCAATGTACACGATCACATACACGAACATACTACACATCATTTTTGCAGCCTCTCACAAGTCACTGCTTAATGTAGGCCTCAACTAAAAAATACAACTTAGCAAATTATGTTCAAAAAAAAGACGTGTGGCACTCGGGGACTGCCGCGGTAAAGCTATTGCATAGCATTTTGTATCAACTTTGCAATTATAATTATTTTTTATTTATTTTATTTATGCAGTATTTCTTTTTCTTTGATATTAATTCAAGTTACACTTTTTGAGTGTGGTGACCAATAAGAAAACAATTTTTTTTCTTTTATTAAATAAATAAAAAGTTAATATTGTTTAAAATATTTTTATTATTTTACAATACATGTGGGTTTTATTATCTTACAGTAGCTGTTGGTTATTCAGGAATATTAATCAACACCGTGTCGAAGACTGCCGAAAAGAAACGACGTTAGACAATGCACAGCCTTCAAGCCACACCTCCGTGCCCGTCGGAGTGGGGAGCGTGAGGTTTTTTTCGTTATGGAATTTCTGGATTTGGTCCCCGCGCTCAAGGCCCGCGATAGAAGCTATGAATAGCTTACAAAGAATAATTTTTTTCTAATAACATTAGTGATGATCTAACAGTCAACCTATTAACAGGAAGAGACATCAAAGATGCGAGAGTTCTGATACTACGATTGCCAATTCGCCTGCAAAGCGAGGCAATTTCGACAAACTCCGTGCAATGGGACAAGCACGTATCCTAAGATCAAACATAAATAAAAACTCATTTAAAATTTCTCATATAAGACCGATTTGAAAAATTTGAATGCTATTTTTTTAATCATTATGATGATTTAATCATTTTTAATCATCTTTAAATTTTAAGAAATAGCAACAATTAAACAACTTCAATTATAGTATAATTTGTGGTTTCAAATAGGTAAAAATAACCTAACATGTAAACATAAATGAATGGTAAAAAATAAGTTTTCACCTTGATTTCTCTCTGCGATAGGACCTGCTGCCATTTTTGTATAAAGATTTAATTTAAACGAAAAGATTTACATTACATTGAATAGTGAACTCAAACTCAAATCGAAGTAGATTTGAAAACTTTAACCAAATAGTTTGCTTTGGCGTCTAACTGACACCAAAACTCACAACCAGTGTTGCCAGATGCCTTGAACCTTTTATCTGTATTAAAAACTGCTAAAATCTGTATTAAATCTGTATGCTATTTAAACTTAAAATCTGTATAATTTAATAAACCAAACTAGAATAATTGATCATCATCATCGCTTCTTTTGAAAAACAAGGAATAACTACTAACGTGATAAGCTGATAAAGTTTGATTACCGTTATTAAATAAAAATACTTTTATAGAATAAGGGTGACAAGCGAGCACATAGTACGCCAATGGTAAGTGGATGTTGTGGCCCATAGACATCTACATTTATCCTCGCTTAAAAATCAAAACGCAGATGCGTTGTCACGCCTGAGGACTAAGATGGAATGCCTCGTTTCCAGTAAAAAAGGGTCTCCGGATTTTTACACTCACCATACGAAGCACAGCAGTATTAAGCTGGTGATTTACGCTGGTATTCTGTGAGAGCGTGGTCCTTCCCCGGTCGAGCTGACTCATTCGTGCTGCAACCATAATATAGCTGCAGCGTGGCTCTACCAAGTATTAAATATACACTATACACAAAAAAAAATTATATAGCAAAATTGAACACATTAATTTAGACAAACAACTTATTAAACTCAAACATTTGCAACAAACGAACATATAATTAATTTATTATTTTCAGTCACACATATTCTATATATACATATTATATAATACACTTGCATGTCTGCCGCACTAAGTAGGTAGTCACTTATTTTGCTTATTCTTTTTTAATTTGAATATTATGGTAACCCAATCAATAGAGTTAGAAAACTACGAGTACGTAGACAGAGAAACCTATAGACTAATGATTAACGTGGCCTCGAGTGAGAAAGAACGATAACGTAGTTTTAGGTTATACAATAATCTTTATAACTATGACTAAACATATTTAGATAAAATTATTGTTATAAGAACTGAACTGAACAAGATTCACCAATCTTAAGCTCACAATACACTTTTTTCTCACTTAAACCAACTTGTAAACTCCTTAGATCGCTACGAACTGTCAAAGTTGCTTAGCAAAGTGTAGTTTGCTAAATAAAAAAAACCGGCATGGAGAAAGGGACAAAGAATCACACCACTCTGTCTCATTTCTATGAAGACGTATATATCAATCTATCTTTTTCGTGTGCGAATGCGAAAGAAGGCGTCAATTTGTCTATAGGTTTCTCTGTCTACGGAAAACTCTGTATAAAAATCTGTATCCAGTGCTAATCTGTATCACACACCGAAAATCTGTATAAATACGGGGAAATCTGTATATATGGCAACACTGCTCACAAGCTCACAACCCAAGTTTGGCAGTTGGCACTTAGATGTTGATTTATATACTTGCACACTCAACTCTTATCTATGGTTGTTGTTGTTGCTTTTATTATTCGCTCGAGGGAGCAGGCAAAGAAACTTAGCTATACAGCCTAGTCTTTTTTAATTTGAATATATAGAATTTTGAAGTGTAAAGGCCGGAACAAAGTTTTATTTTTCTTCTTTCCATCTGTTCAAAATCCATAAATGCCGAAGCCAAGTCTTATTTTCCTTAATTCTTCATATTATCAAAAACCATAAAGGCCTTCTTGGAAAGGTTCACGAAATTTGGCGGCTGGGATTAATCCGAACAATTCCTCAGAGCACTCTCCATGGTATATGCGAAAGAAAATGCAAAGAGATGCAACATCTCTTCGCAGCGCCAGTGAATCGAGCCGATCAGAAAGCACTCGGTCGTCGACGATTCGAGCCGCTCTGCGCTGGATGCGGTCAAGTGGAAGGAGCTGGTACTGGGGAGCCCCAGCCCAGAGATGGGAACAATATTCCATGTGCGGCCGAACCTGCGCCTTGTAAAGTTGCAGGCGGTGTGCCGGCATGAAATACTGTCCCACTCTGAGGAGCACGCCAAGCTTTTTTGGATGCCAATTTGGCCTTCTCATCCAAGTGACCACGAAACTGCACGTCACTCGATATGTCGACGCCGAGGATTCCGATACTGGCTGAGGCAACAAGGGGAGTGCCTTGAAACTGAGGAGCTACGACAAAGCGGTTCTTTTTAGCGGTTAACGCGCAAACTTGTGTCTTCAGGGCATTCAACTGGACTAGATTTAGTCGCCCCAATTCGAGACTCTGTTCAGCAAAGACTCAACTTCAGACACAGGTTTGTCCCGGTACTCGGAGACGTTTTCCCGAGAAATATTGGCACGGCCGGTCTGAAGAGCATCACCACTCACCAGTGCTGTCATCTGCATAGCAATGAATGTTACGGGTTCGCAACATATCATTGATATGCAGAAGAAACAGCGTTGGCGATAGCACGCAGCCTTGTGGAACACCAGCATTAATTGGCTTGTAATCGGAGCTTGCACCATCTACAACGACCTTGATGCTCTGATCTGCAAGAAAGCTGGTGATCCAATCGCACAATTTCTCGGAAAGCCCATAGGAAGGGAGCTTCGAAAGAAGCGCTTTGTGCCAAACTCGATCGAAGGCCTTCGCTATGTCTAAACTAACGGCAAATGCCTCCCCCTTGGACTCTACTGCCTGCGCCCATCTATGAGTTAGGTAGACCAGAAGATCACCAGCTGATCGACCACGGCGAAAACCGTATTGGCGATTTCTGAGTTTTCATAAATTTGTATAACTTTTTCAATGAGTAGCAATCTTGTCAAGACGTACGCTGGGCAGTTAAATATTATATGTTCTGCAGTCTGATTTGCTTCTGTATCACAGAAGTTGCAGATGCTACTATTCTCATCCTGGAAAGATGAGCGTTCAGTCGATAGTGGCCAAATCTAAGTCTGCACATTATTGTATAAAATTTTCTGCTATGATATCTCTCGTCGCGAGAAAATCAAGGAATACTTAATTCTGTATTAATTGTTGCATACTGTTACGAGCTTGAGGTTCGTGACAATAAAAATTGTCGATAGAATTACCTAAATTAACACTTTAATTCACTTTACACGAATTAAAGTTAAAAACACTAATAATTAAACACACTAATTCACTTTATTCCGCTCCGAAGCTTCGCTTGTCTCGCAAAATCAACACTGCCCCGATCGCATCTTGCAGCGCCTATATTCAAGTAAATGCGCGCAAAGCGACGAGTGTTCGAGTGTAGATTTTCTAGAAACTTAGTTCTTCGGATGGCGCTGTCGGTAAAGATTTGTGATGTCATTTTCTGCAAAGCTCCCCTCGCTCTCGTTCCTGACACTAGATTGCGCTAGTGTATGACGTTGAGCGCGTAACACTGCCCCCTCCTAAGATATGCTTGTCCCGAGCATTATCGGCCCCATAATAACGCGCGCATGCGATCTTAGGAGTCCCTCTTGCGCCTTTCTGTAACGGCTCCGCAATGTCTAGGGCTGTCCTATCCCATGGTGCACCAACATTGCACAATTTCGATGCTCCTCTATTACGTGTCTGAGGTCCCTTCACGGCCGCACAACTTGTACATGTACGACACCAATCCTCGACATCGTCACGACAATGGACCCAGTAAAACTGTTCTCGGACCTTCAGTAGAGTTCGCTTAACTCCCAAATGGACTCTTGAACGACCATTATGGCACAGCTGTAGAACATTCGCCACTTTAGCTTTAGGGACAACCATTTGCAAACGACAGCTGTCTCCTCGACCATTGTCCCATTTACGGCACAGGACTCCATCCTGAAGCAGCAAGCTGTCCCATTGGGCCCAATAGCTTTTCGTGGTTGAACTCATCGCTGAGACGTCCCTCCACTTAGGCTCGGTAGAACGGGCCTTCATCCATCCCAGAATCGGCTTGATGTCCGGATCTTCCTGCTGTGCATGTCGTAGGCTGTCCTTCCACCCGTTGCTCAGGTGGTCTGCCCTGAGCATCCTCACGGATATCACTTCCTTACTCTCTTGCCTACTACAATGGTTGCAATCTTCAGGACAAGGTCTTCTTGACAATGCATCTGCGTTGCCGTGAGATTTCCCGCTGCAGTGTCTGATAGTAAAGTCGTATTCCTGCTGCTGCTGGGCGGTGCTGTTAGCCGCACTTCCTTTCTGAGACCGTTCACCTTCCCTTCCTAGGGTGTGCTTAGGGCAGCTGGACCGAAGATGGCCCCTTTCCCCACAGCCATAGCACCTAGGACTGTATCTTTTATTGTGGTCGCGAACCGTAACTGCTGTAACCTCCCTAGCGTGAGGTGAACGATGATCCTGTCGCCGCCAGGCAGTGCCGTTAGCTGCACTACCCTCTCGAGATCGATCAACTCTCCTTTCCACGGTTCGCTTAGGGCAGCTGGATCGGAGATGGCCCTTTTCCCCACAGCCATAGCACCTAGGGCTGTATCCTTTGTTCAGCGGCGCGAACTGGTCTATGGCTCCGCCGCCGACCAAGATTCGGCTGCGGAGGGTAGGGAGAGCGGCGCCTCGCAATACCAACAATCCTCTCCCCCCGCAGCCCCACCACCACCGCATCAACGGTGCGGCCCCGTTTGAGTCGCGGAGGATAAGGCGAGTGGCGCATCGCCATACCAACACTCCTCTTCCTCCGCAACTCCACCTGCAGCGGTAGGTGGGGAGGACACACCTCTCACCGCAGTCCACCATCACACATCCGAAGTGGGCTCCCCAAACCCACTCGGAGTGGCCACCTCGGGCCGGCCCTCCACCTTGGACCAGCCATATGGGTTACTCTTTGTTTCGCCGTGGGTGACCAAGCCACGGCTTCTAAGCCCCCCCGCCACGACAAGGCGGGAACCCGTTCGGGGGGGCTTGTATGTCCCCGAGCGGTGAGTGTATTTTCGCTAAGTGTTGAGCCAATCTGTAAGTTGGTGAATCGATTTGGCTCACTATGGGACGTAATGGAGCATTGGGCTTGTGTATTTTTGGTAACCC